CAAGTAAATTTCATTTTAAAATTTATATTTTATGACATATTTTTACTATAATATACATTAATACAATAATATACATTTGTAATATATCTAAAGTCTACACTGACCCTTGCGAGTCTGAAGTGAATGAAGATTTAATTCATTTGAAAGGGTTCTATTTTAAGGGCAGAAAGTATTCCTACCGCTTGTTCCGGACAACCTGAAACTTAATGGATTACAAGCTAGGCTTGGGTAAATTATGCCGGCATAATTTCGAGCATAATAGGACTTCAGAAGCATAATAGACACTTAAGCCCCGTTCACACGAGCAATTTTTATGTGACAATTTTGATGTGACAATTTTTATTTGCTCGTGTAGACGAGGAAAATTGTGCAATTTTTGTGTGGCAAATACAGTTGCTGAAAAGCTAGCGCGTTAGCTTTTATATGACAAATAAAAGTTGTCACATACGAAAAATTGCTCGTGTAGATTACTTAAAATTACGTAAATTTCCATCTACAAAACCCATCAGCAATTAATTCTATCAAGTATCTATTATGAGCAAGTTGTCGCTGTTCGCAAAGGATTGGAGGTGCGAAGTATCAAAATGGACGGGCATTCTATATCATAACGATCCCGACGAATAAATAGTTGCAAAACTATACCTGCGTGTGCGATCAACTGTAGCCTTAATATTTATCGGCAATCACAAGTTAGTCATGATCAGCTACAATTTTGCACTGAGAACTTAACCTTGAAACAGGAAAGTAAAGCATCAAAAGACCTGATAATATATACGTATGTGTATGTATATCAAATTACTCTGTGATTCCTCACTTATAAATATAACCTAGTATCATTCGTGATGACAATTAAAACATGTGTAGTTGAAACTTGACTATATGAAAACGTTTTCTGAAATTCTAAATTGCCGTTGTTTTGTATTTTGTAAAGATTCTGAGTGGATTTTTCAGAATCTTCAATACTGTAAGTAAAATACATGAAAACAGTAAAAGTTCGCGCAACAATCCATTATCAATCTTCAGTCATTAAATTATTTCCTATACAATCTCCGTTTTGATTGTGTAATTATGACATCACACCTGCAGATATAGCTTTCTGAATGTAAATATGACATTAATTCTGCCAGCAGAGAACGAGCTTCTTTACATGCAGAACATATAAAGCCATGACCCATGGCGAGATTTGTTTTTGTAACTAAAAAAAGAAGCGAAATACACTAAATGACCTTACAAACTAAGACAGAGAAAATAGAGAGAAAAACACAACCTCGGCATTGATAACTTTCAATATCACGCGAAAAATTATTAATTATTGTCGTAATAGATTTTTTGAAGTTTAGTAAATTTCGTGTCCGCATGTCCGCGTTTTCCACTTGACTTGCGTGTCCGCATGTCCGCGTTTTCCACTTGACTTGCGTGTCCGCATGTCCGCGTGTCCGCGTTTTCCACCTAACCCCTTGATAGAGTACTTTTGTAACCTTGATAGAGCACTTTTCTAACCTTGATAGAGCACTTTTGTAACCTTGATAGAGCACTTTTGTAACCTTGATAGAGCACTTTTGTAACCTTGATAGAGCACTTTTCTAACCTTGATAAGGCACTTTTGTAAACTTGATAGTGCACTTTTGTAACCTTGATAGTGTACTTTTGTAACCTTGATAGAGCACTTTTGTAACCTTGATAGAGCACTTTTGTAACCTTGATAAAGCACTTTTCTAACCTTGATAAGGCACTTTTGTAACGTTGATAGAGCACTTTTGTAACCTTGATAGTGTACTTTTGTAACCTTGATAGAGCACTTTTGTAACCTTGATAGAGCACTTTTGTAACCTTGATAAAGCACTTTTGTAACCTTGATAGAGCACTTTTTTAACCTTGATAGAGCACTTTAGTAACCTTGATAGAGCATTTTTTTAAACTCGATAAAGCACTTTTGTAACCTTGATAGGGCACTTTTTTAACCTTGATAGAGCACTTTTGTAACCTTGATAGAGCACCTTTGTAACCTTGATAGAGCACTTTTGTAACCTTGATAGAGCACTTTTTTAACCTTGATAAAGCACTTTTGTAACCTTGATAGAGCACTTTTTTAACCTTGATAGAGCACTTTAGTAACCTTGATAGAGCATTTTTTTAAACTCGATAAAGCACTTTTGTAACCTTGATAGGGCACTTTTTTAACCTTGATAGAGCACTTTTGTAACCTTGATAGAGCACCTTTGTAACCTTGATAGAGCACTTTTGTAACCTTGATAGAGCACTTTTAGTGTAACATTGATAGAGCACTTTTGTAACCTTGATAGAGCACTTTTAGTGTAACATTGATAGAGCACTTTTGTAACCTTGATAGAGCACTTTTGTAACCTTGATAAGGGCAGTTTTGTAACCTCGATAAAGCATTTTTTAAATTTTGATAGGGCACTTTTGTATGGGGCGCCGTAACGGACAATATTGCCTTTCAAAAATAAATATCTGCGAAACTGCAGATGTTTGCTCTAATACAAAAATATATGAACTGAACTTTGAAAATATATGTGGTGAACATAATAAAATTGTTCTGAACTTAATATATATCTGCCAAACTTAAAAAATACGTGCTAAACTTAAGATATATGTTCTCAACTTGAAATAGGCATGCGATTATTTTCATAAATATTGGCCGAATTGGATAAGTTCATGGTAAACTCGACAAAACATTGCTGAACTGCAAAAATATATGCTAAACTTTAAAAGTTTTCTATATTCAAAAAATGTATGCTCTTTGAAAAATATATATTCTAATTATGATGCTTTGCGGCCTTATTATATCACGTGACAAACAGCAACGGACGACCGCCATTTTCTACGATTTCTCGAAGACGAAGATGTTCAACCGAAATGATCTTCAGTTTCACTTAAATAACACACTCGAAAGCGCCAGTATTTCTCCTATAAACAATCAGTCATCGACAAATTCAAGTGGAAATAGTGGTTTGACGTTAACAGAAGAACTGCAAAACAGTTAAATTTAAATGATTTGAAATACTAAAACTCTCAAACAAAAGCTGAATTAAAAACGTTAACAATGCCCCTTTGCCGCCGAGAAGGTCAGAGCGTCGTCAACGTTGAATGGGTGGCATTTTTACAGGCCGCGAAATCCGTTATTGCAGGAATAGCGTCCACTTTAATGGAAAGCAGTACCAAAAATACGTTCAGCATGTTAGATCAGTTGGAGATCTTGAGTAATCGATTGGAGAGTATGTGTTCCTCCTTCACGACGTTACTGGACAACTTAAACGCTGATGAAGACACTTTAAATTTGAAGACGTTTTAGCCAGCCTAATGTTAATTCAGAGAGCGGTATTTGGAGAGGTGGAAAGGATTCGGTCGACTAATGACAAATGACAATACATCTTATAGGTGTTCAACCCATCGAACAAATAGACCTGGCCGACCAAAATATGACATTACCAAAAACCAACTTGAATTTTTGCGAAGCAAACACTTTTCCTGGGTAAGCATTGCCAAATTGCTTTACGTGTCCACACGGACGTTAAGAAGGAGAAAAATTGAACTTGGTATTGATAACAATTTTTCTGCGATTTCCGAAGAAGAGCTAACTCGTACGATGGAAGACATTATTAAAATTACCCCCAATATTGGTCAGAGTAGGATGGTTGGTGCTCTCAGGGCAAGAGGGCTAAACAAACAGAGACATAGGGTCAGGGAGTGCCTCAGAAGAATTGATCCAGTCTGCACAGCTCTTAGATGGAATCCGAGAATTTACAGACGTAAGTATCAGGTTCCGCACCCAAACGCATTGTGGCACATGGACTGGAACCACAAGCTGATACGTCGGCGTTTTGTTATTCACGCATGCATTGATGGATATAGCCAACTTGTTATATACCTGCAATGTGCTAATAATAACCAGGCGTCGACCGTCGTAAATTTTTTCGAATATGGAGTCACAGACTTTGATTTACCGTTAAGGGTGCGGTCTGACCATGGCTTAGAAAACGTGGACGTTGCACGCTTTATGCTTATTCATAGGGGATGTAACAGGGGTAGTATGATAACAGGTAAATCTGTGCATAACGTCAGAGTTGAACACAGAGATGTCTACTGTGGCGTACTTTCTCACTATGTCTGGCTATTTACTACCATGGAGGAAGACGGTTTTCTTGATTGGCTGAATGAAAACCACCTTTTCGCATTGCACTACGTATTTATTCCAAGAATACAAAAGTCCCTTGATGAGTTCAAGTGCCAAAGGAATGGCCACCCAGTCAGTACAGCTGAGAACCTTAGTCCTGAACAACTTTTCATCAGAGGGACAATCTCCAATTGTAACCAGAATATACTGGAAGGAGTGAATGACAATAACGAGTTTGATGAGTTCGGTTCGGGCATAGATTTAGATACAGATGCAACTCTCCCAATCAATGATGATGACTATGATGTTTCTGTACCACAAATTAATGTCAATGAAGAGCTATCTATCGTGCTACAGGAAAATATAAACCCCCTAAGTGATGATGGACATCATGGTGTAAATTTGTTTAGGGGATATGTGCAGCTATTAAGTGAGAATACAACAGGTTAATAGTTTGTAAGTTTTCTTTATTAAAATTTCAAAAAGTGCAAAAACGATGATACTCTAAGGTACAAAATATGAACAGAAATCCATCTAAACATGTAATTGGTGATTGTTTAAAATGTCAGTCACATTGGACACTGCTAGAAAAAATACCGGGGCAATTCAGTAGAAAAGTGAAATGGCATACTTGATGTATAGTGATAGTTGCATAAAAACATCTCACCTGCGTGGGACAATCACCAATTACTTATTAAGAAACAACAACAATGCTAAGTCATAATATGAATATGAAACTGTAAATTAAGTGTACATTAACATTTGGCATAAACCAAGTGAAAAAACTGTAACAATTTTTCAACTAGGTTCAATTAGAATCCTCAACTACCCAGTCATAAAAACTTACTGAACTCTCAAGATCAGTTTAAACAATATCAAATGCCCATGACAATTTATCAGCTAAGATGTTACTAAACTCCTCAGCTAAGTCATTATAACACTGGTATGTACTTGGTAGCTCTAACAGAGGCGCACAAGTATGGGCAATTGGCCGTCTCGCGAAACCCTGGGCAGCTACAAAATTAACCTTAATCTGTTCAGTTACAATAATGTCGCTACCTGTAGTGAATTGAAGAAACCGTGTTAAAGACTGACCCTGTAAAGACTTAATGTACCGTTTTAAGTGATCCAAACATTGGTTTTCAGCATAATTAGTTGGAACGAAATTAAGCAGTTTTATTACTTTACGACTGCTTGGCCGCTTTTCATCGTACATTTCTTTCAGCACTTCTGTGGATTGAAATGGGGGGAAAGACTTTAATGTTTGAATATGGGGGGCCCAACAGTGGACAACATATTTTGGCTTTTGAATTAGTTCTTGGTGTGCAAGTTCAGAAAAAATCAACCTAATATTTTCAGCGTTTGGAATGCGGTGGCACTTGTACGAACTTAATAGCTCTAGCACTTCTTCATCATCAGGAGACAATTCTCCATTGCAACACTTGTCAAAGGTCTCACGCTCATCGTCTGAGATGTACATTCGAAACGATTGTAGTAAGTCATGATTTGTTAAACTTTCTTTCTTCACTAAGGAAAGTGAAATTGGAAAATATTTTTCCCTGAGGTAACCATAAATAAGAATGCTAACAATTGCAACCCACTGCATTTTTTGATGGTCATGCCTTATTGAGGGAACTTTTTCCTGCACACCTACAGCCAATGAATCAACGAAAACCTGCCAAAAGCTTGCGAGAACATCCCTAGCTACACATACACCTTCACCCTTTTCAGCCGAACCATCAAAACCTATTACAGTAAACATTAAAAGACTACCAAGTGTGTCTGGGTCTTGAAAGAGTTGAAGCATATCATTCTTGAGGGTTGTTCTGTGCACTGTTAAGCCTTCACTGGATAATTGACAATATGATCCAGGTCAATTACACCAGTTTCAGTTGTTAATTGATGTGCTAAATTAGGGAAAAAACAAAGTGTTATAATAGGAATATGGCATTTACATGCACCCTTGTACTGACTTACATGCTACTGTAGCTTAACAGATCGAACCATTAATTGGCCACAGTAATATGCGAGAAATGCTTACAAAGGAATATATTCATTAGTGTATAACGTTGAAATATTCTTAACCTTTGCATGTGCTTTGTACTACTTGTCATTTTTTTAAATAAAATGTGACTTTAACGACCATTTTTTACTGTATTTCACTCAGTTGAATGCCAGATAAGTTTATTCAAAGTGGGGAAATAGAATTACAACAACAACTGCTGCATTATATTCTTTTACCTTTCTCTGTTTCTCAACAATTAGGCGGTGTTTATATGGAGGCGAGAGTCAGGCGCGCCAGCCTGGTTCCCATATAAATGCAAGATGAATATTAATATAATGGCAACGTTAGATCTCAGCAAAGCGAGATAGCTCAGGTTCCATATAAACACCCCCTTAGTTTATATTTTCTCCACAACTTACTGTACGTACCATTATCATGGTTTTGTTCATCAAAGATATCAATTAATGGAGTAGATTCTGGAAATGGCTCTGTAATGCCATTAATGTGTTATACCGTGACATGATCTAAAATTTAAATATTTTTCCGGTTGAATTTAGTTAATTAACCCATTTAGTCGCATTGCATCAAGGGGAGAGCGCTGGCGCTTAATATGCATATTCCCCAGCCTGGGATAGATGGAAAGCTTTAACAAGTTACATAACCCAGTGTCACAAAGGTTTAGGGGGTTATCTGTGGTTACCATTATATAAATATGGCTAGGAGTGAGAGGAAAACCGGTGTACTCAAAGTAAACCTGGCAGTAACAGGATTAAACTTAGAAGTACTGCCTATCACACAATAACTACATCTTCCAGCCAGGTTTTGGTATTCCCACGAGAATTCAGTATCCTATTTCAACAACTGGGCAATCCGACCAGCACAAAAGTATTAAAACAAAGCAATGCTCAATATTCTTGGGTTTTCATCATGGAGATAATTTTTCTTAACAATTACCGTTAGTTTGAGTTTGTTCATCAACAATATGTGCATGTACACCAGCAGATTCTGGAACTGACTGTGCAATACCAACAGCTTGTTCTATCATTACAGCATCTAAAATTTAACTACATACATACATACATACATACATACATACATACATACATACATACATACATACATACATACATACATACATACATACATACATACATACATACATACATACATACATACATACATACATACATACATATATACATACATACATACATACATATATACATACATACATACATACATACATACATACATACATACATACATACATACATACATACATACATACATACATACATACATACATACATACATACATACATACATACATACATACATACATACATACATACATACATTGTTTCGGTTTGTGAAATGCTCTGAAGGTTATTTTATGAGGATTTCAATGGTGGCTTTTATTTACAAGGAGGGGTAAATACTCGCCGAAATATTTATATTAGAAAAATTGTGTCGTAATCTGATGCGAAAGGGGGTGGTCGAGAAAGAGTACACATTTCCACTAGTACTAGCGATGCCAGGATTCCACATTTTACTTATTCCCCATGGGAATCCAGAATCCTACTTCTGCATAAGTGTTACAATGCTACATATGTCAACGTCATACAGGCAGTAAACATCCACATGACAACCTCTTATGGGCGTACCGGGCAATATTCGCTGAACAGTCGTGCAATTTTGGTTTATTATAAAAATAAATGGGACAAATTCTGTAAATTTTATGGTCAATTTTGTGATGTTTCGAAAATTTTTGTTAGGTTCCGAAAAATTTTGATATGTCCGGAAAAATTTTTTGACCCCTAAAATAGTACACTGACCGAAATTTTTTGGCGACGGGGGAGGGGGGTGGGGGGAGGTCGCCAAAATAAATTCCGGAAAAAATTTTATCGGTACTTGTCGGGCAAAATCCGGAAAAGTCGGCCAAATTTCTTTCCGCCCCCCTAAATTCTTCCTTCCGGTACGCCCATGCAACCTCATTTTAAATTTTCTAGTAGCCAGTGATGCCATTAATTAATATGTATCTGCAACATCTATGTTGTTAAACCTAAATTTTGGCTGCTTATACAAAGCCCCCAATTTACTATTCCATGACTCACCCTTACAAAAAAATCCAATTGAAATTCCAATAGGAATTTCTATTGGAAACTATCCCAAATTCCAATTGGATTTTTTCATATGGGCAACAATGTCATATAATGCAATTCATGTATTAATGCTGGGCATTAATATTATACATTCATTTGTCAGTCGATATCTACCTTCAATATCAGACTCAGATGGAATTTCTAAGATTTCTGGATCTTGTTTTACTGCAGCTATGGATGGCTCCAAAAAATCATCATTGTCAGAATGATCACTGTCACTACCAGAAGCAAGTTTTACATTTGAGCGTATGTACACTGCGCCTTGGCCTGATAGTTTCAGCAGCATATTGCAGTTCATTCTAACGTACTCCCGGGGCCAAATTTGGTGAAACAAGTTTTCCATACAAGGCCTATATATAATACATATAAAAATAATATATGTTTGTGTAATCCACTATAAATCAACCACACAACATTTTAAATCAAACAAAATAGTAGTTATTGTTTCTCTAACTAATAAACCAAAAAATACTGTTGGCCCATTAAATTAATGGTTGTTATAGAATGGAAACAAGACTTGGACGTTGTTGTGATAAATGTTAAAAACAACAGCATTAGAATGAACACGACGCAGATTTACATGAACCAATTAGAGGGCATTAGGGACTGATCATAATTTATCAGGGGGGGTGGGAGGTGGGGAGGTGTAATTCAAAATTTTAAGGAATATTTTGTAACCCTGCCTTTCCATAACCTGGAAAAATAATGCCCCCCCCCCCTCTTATGTGAGAAGAACAAAATGTGAGAAGGCATGTATAAAACAATTGAACTAAAACAGCAGACCCCCTCCCCGCCTTCATAAACTGTCTAATATTTTATGAACCCCCCCCTTTTTCTGGCTAAAAAATATGTGACCCCCCTGTTTCCACCTCCCCACCCCTCCTGCTAAATTATGACCAGTCCCTTAGGGGAGCCTTTAGGGCACAATGCAACTTAATCAGTTACTAGGTTACAAGGATTTGGATCATACAAGATACCTACTGCAGTTTTTAAAAGATAAGCTTTCTAATGCAGGGGATTTGGTAAAATAATTTTTGTATTTCATGTAGGTAGAGTCATCAAACAGAGGAGGTGGGGGTCATCAAAGGAAGGGCATTTCATGCCTTATTTAAATTACCAAATTTCTAGGACGGTTAATAGAGTTGTTTGGATAGACAATGTGACTGCCTTTCTTTAAAATAGGGGTTGGAGGGGGGGGGGGTGAGGTATTTCTCTCTAAGTGAGGGACATTTATAACAAGGAAAAGGAACAATTTTCCAGGCCCCACAAAGAAATTCTAGGAATTCTTAAGATTTCCTAACTACTACCCATGCTATATTATAGTTTGTTAGCAAAATATTATGCCGTATGTATATTATACCTTCATGTACTCATAACCACAACACTGGATCTGCGGAAAGACTTTTTCTATTTCCTTTTTTAAATGGATGTCATCCCAATCTCTTACAAAAGGAAAGCTATGAAGAACGTAACCATCACCATTGTTGGATTTGTTGAACAACTTAAAGTAGGACTTGAAGTATGGTTAGGTCGCAGATTTGCTAAGCTGAGAAAACTTCTTCGCAGTTCTTCCGTTAACGTCAAACCACTATTTCCACTTGAATTTGTCGTTGACTGATTGTTTATAGGAGAAATACTATATCATATACTATATCGAACATATATCTTAAGTTTAGTACGTATTTTTTAAGTTTGGCAGATATATATTAAGTTCAGAACAAATTTATTATGTTCACCACATATATTTTCAAAGTTCAGTCCATATTCAGTCCGTGGAGAGGGAAATTAACTTGACCCATAAGGGAACTCTTTCTACATTTGTATAATGGCTCACACAATCCCAGTCAGAATTTCTTATCGTAACCGTCGTCACAGACCTAAGCAAAATATGCGGAACACATCTAACTTAATACGAGTAAGACGGTGTAACCCTGTTGGAACGAACAAAGTTACGAAACCCATGCTCCCAAAATTAGCTTTAATAAACGCACGTTCCCTTTTACCAAAGGTTGATGAACTTATCGCAAATCTATCCGTGAACACAGCAAATTTGGTGGCAGTGACGGAAACATGGTTGAACGACGATATAGAAGATAATTAACCTTGTTTCAATTAGGGGTTATAACATTTTCCGAAGGGATCGCCCTTATCGAAGTGGAGGTGGGGTTTGTGTCTATCTCTCTGAGCATATCCATGCTAAGCGTCGAACTGACCTTGAAAGCGACAATTTTGAGTGCTTGTGGCTTTGGCTACGCCCCACTCGCCTACCTAGACCCCTCTCAGGCATTGCAGTCTGTGTCGTCTACCACACACCTGGGCTGCCCGAACATGAACATTACCTCCTAAATGAATATTTAACCAATAGCGCGGATATTCTATGCAACCAATATCCCAATTGTGGTCTTGTTTTCCTAGGCGATTTTAACGATTTCCAAACAGCGAACCTTTTATCAAGACATAACTTAAAGCAATTGGTCCAGGCTCCCACGAGAGGCTCGGCTACTCTAGATCTCATAATTACCAACCTATCAAACCTTTATGAAGCCCCCCAAGTTCTAGCCCCGCTTGGATCCTCAGATCACAATATTGTCACATGTTCTCCTGACTTAACGAAGTCAAACCCAAGTTTGCACACCAAGTCTATTAAACGTCTGGTACGTCGATACCCTCGATCTTGTATTGACGCTTTTGGGAGATGGACTACAAGCCACGATTGGTTCAGTGAACTTGGGCCTACAGCCACAGTTGATGATCTAACAACATCTTTTACATCACAATTTGTGCAAGCAATTGGCCGGATATTTCCTCCTAAGTTGGTAAAATTCCATCATTCCGATAAACCTTGGGTAACACCAGCCATTAAAACCCTCATAAGAGATCGTCAGAAAGCATTCCATAGCAGGATTAACAATCCCCTTTGGCTCTCACTAAGACGCAAGGTCCAATATGAAATAAGGGAAAGAAAAAAGTCTTTTTATAAGAACAGAGTCCAGCACCTAAGAAACACTGACAGTCGTAGATGGTGGAAAATGGTCAACAAAATGTCCGGTAAACCTGAGAAAACAAAATCTTTCTCTTTAGAATGTAACGGGGAAACTCTGAACGACGAACAACTAGCAAGTGCCCTTAAGGGGGCTCCCTACAGTTTCCAATATATGTGAGTGTTTAAACTAAAACATATTTAATTCATTTGAATCTAAAAAAAACTAATTTTTTGGACAAGCCATTGTTTCCCCTTATATAAGAGTAATTTTAACCCATAATCGCTACTCTTCACGTTTCCATGACAACATGACGTCACCATCTATATGGCCTACATCAACCAAAAAAGCCATCTTAGCGGACAGATAACCACGGTGACCTACCTTTTTTATTGCAGAAAATACATTGGTATGACGTTTTGAATCTTTTTTGAAAGTTATTTGAAAATCGCCAGTGTAGTTTTCGAGAAACTGAATTTCAGCCTTTTCCAAAGGCTAAAATGCAATCTTAAAGGCTGAAATTCAGTTTCTCGAAAACTACACTGGCGATTTTCAAATAACTTTCAAAAAAGATTCAAAACTTCATAACAATGTATTTTCTGCAATAAAAAAGGTAGGTCACCGTGCTTATTTGTCCGCTAAGACGACTTTTTGGGTGATATAGGCCATACATATGGTGACGTCGTGTTGTCATGGTAACATGAAGAGTAGCGATTGTGGGTTAAAATTACTCTTTTGTATAAGAGGAAACAATGGCTTGTGCAAAAATTAGTTTTTTAGAGTCAAATTAATTAAATAGGTTTTAGTTTAAAACACTGACATATATTGGAAACTGTAGGGAGCCTCCTTAATGAATTTTACGTCTCTGTGAACGCGGATATTCCGACATTTGATGTAAATTTACTGCCCGCATTCTTACCGGCTAACGACGCCTTTTTATCCGTTCAACCTTACGAAGTCTGTCAAAAATTATTGGCTCTTCAACCTTATAAAGCAACAGGACCTGATAATGTACCAAGTCGATTTCTAAAAGATTTTGCTCACGTGCTAGCCGATCCAGTTACCACCATTTTTAATGCATCCCTTTCCTCTAGCGTCGTCCCGAGAATTTGGAAAGAATCCAATATCATTCCAATCCCGAAGGTACAACAACCCGAATGTGAAGGAGATACTAGACCAATATGGTTGACCTCTTGCCTCTCCAAACTGCTGGAAGACTTTGTTGTAAGTTGGCTAATTGACGACGTCAAGGGAAAGATCGACCCCTGCCAATTTGGCTGTTTGAAAGGAACGTCGACCATCTATTGCCTCCTTGATATGCTCCACTCTTGGCTCTCCCATTTGGACTCGGACTCCAACGGTAAACACATTCGTATTAGCTTCTTAGATTTCTCGAAGGCCTTCGACCGCATTGGATACAATATTCTCATTGAAAAACTGCCAGACCTGGGCGTTAGGCGGTCTTTAATACCCTGGATTATAAACCTTCTTTGTGATCGAAGACAACGAGTTAAAATTGGAGAATCCTTTTCCAGCTGGCTCCCAGTGACAGCCGGGGTCCCTCAAGGGACTAAACTTGGTCCAATAAGGCACTTTTGTAACCTTGATACAGCACTTTTGTAACCTTGATAGAGCAGTTTTGTAACCTCGATAGAGCACTTTTGTAAACTTGATAGAGCAGTTTTGTAACCTTGATAGAGCACTTTTGTAACCTTGATACAGCACTTTTGTAACCTTGATAGAGCACTTTTGTAACCTTGATAGAGCACTTTTGTAACCTTGATAGAGCACTTTTGTAACCTTGATAGGGCACTTTTGTAACCTTGATAGAGAACTTTTGTAACCTTGATAGAGAACTTTTGTAACCTTGATAGAGAACTTTTGTAACCTTGATAGAGAACTTTTGTAACCTTTATAGAGAACTTTTGTAACCTTGATAGGGCACTTTTGTAACCTTGATAGAGCACTTTTGTAACCTTGATAGGGCACTTTTGTAACCTTGATAGAGCACTTTTGTAACCTTGATAGGGCACTTTTGTAACCTTGATAGAGCACTTTTGTAACCTTGATAGAGCACTTTTGTAACCTTGATAGAGCACTTTTGTAACCTTGATAGGGCACTTTTGTAACCTCGATAGAGCAGTTTTGTAACCTCGATAGAGCAGTTTTGTAACCTTGACAAGGGCAGGTTTGTAACCTTGATAGAGCACTTTTAATTTGTAACCTCGATAGGGCACTTTTGTAACCTCGATAGAGCAGTTTTGTAACCTCGATAGAGCAGTTTTGTAACCTTGACAGGGCACTTTTGTAACCTTGAAAGGCCAGTTTTGTAACCTTGATAGGGCACTTTTGTAACCTTGATAGGGCACTTTTGTAACCTTGATAAGGCACTTTTGTAACCTTGATAGAGCACTTTTGTAACATTGATAGAGCACTTTTGTAACATTGATAGGGTACTTTTGTAACCTTGATAAAGCACTTTTGTAACCTTGATACGGCACTTTTGTAACCTTGATACGGCACTTTTGTAAACTTGATAGAGCACTTTTGTAACCTTGATAGGGCACTTTTGTAACCTTGATAGAGCACTTTTGTAACCTTGATAGGGCACTTTTGTAACCTTGATAGGGCACTTTTGTAACCTTGATAGGGCGCTTTTGTACCCTTGATAGAACACTTTTGTAACCTCGATAGAACACTTTTCTAACCTTGATAGAACACTTTTCTAACCTTGATAGAGCACTTTTGTAACCTTGATAGAGCACTTTTGTAACCTTGATAGACCATTTGAAAAACTCACTCGTGCATGTTATATCCAAATTGCACTCGAAACCATGCTATTACCTATACTAATGAGATATCAGTAATTGTTGTGTATCTGCGCTATTTTTGATGGATTTGTTTTAAAAAACAGTATGCTTAATGATGTAGGTTAAATTAACAAACGCATGGCGCATCTTTGGAAAGATTTTGATAAAAAATTGATACACAACAATTACTGATATCTCACTGTATATGTAATTGAGAAAATGACGTCACATGGTTACAAACAAAATGAAATATCTCAAGAATGGGAAGAAAAAATTTTCAAAACAAGTTACTATAGCTACACAGTTTTAAGAGCTTTTTACTTTAAGAAAATAAAAATTTTAACGCGGTCCCAATTTAGCGATGCTTAGGGTAACGTTAACTTCTCAAAACGTAGTTAAAAATGGCGCTTGTGTAGGAGGGAACAACATTTTTCAGTAAAACAACGATAAGCAATCCTTACCTGGGATTTTCAATCGCTATCTTCTCTGTGAACGTTTCCTGACAATATTATCTACAAACGCTATATAGCTTTATTTATCGGGGAAAAACGAAATATATTTTTGCAGGGGAAGATTTCTCGAAGACGACGTAGAGAACATTACACGAAGAAACATGATAAATAATTGCCAAACAGTTACACTTTGGTTTAACGTAGACATCTCAAGTAACAACGTCCTTCTTCGTTGAGTTTTCCTTGTTTTCTTGTTTATTTTTCACTATTTTGAATAATATTTCTGCCTATTTGCAAAATGCGAGCCCACAATCATGTTAAAAATGCCTGTAAGCGGTCGCTAATAAAGCTCTACTTCATATAATTTTACTGTTTAACCACCCCACACAAGGCCGACAAAGTTAACTACGTGATTAGTCAATCATCCGACAAATATTAATCTACTACCCAAGAAAGTATTTCTAAAAGAAAATAATTTATTTACAAGCCAAAGAAAAACAAACTAAACAAATCCAATAACAATCAATAACAATCACAACATCTTTAGGATAATTTACAAAACGACAAGAGTTCCTCGTAACTATCAGTACAGTTACAAAATAATTACGATACTTCTATGGTGATCAATTAGACAAAAATATCAATCAAAAATGCTTAATTTCAGCAAATTAGAAATGCAATATTTATAATTAGAAAACACACCACATTATTAGAATACTTGAAGTATTTCTCGAGGTATATCGGACAAACCAGCTGGCGTTTGTTAAAAAACCGGATTCTATTTTAAGACTATAGCATATAACTGATCACGTTCAACAGGAAAAAGATGTGATCTCGTCGCCAAATGTAAAACACAGTTTTACTGAATCAATGAGCTAGCGAGCTCGACGTCATCTAAATCATCTTTTGGAACAGCAATATACGAAGCAAATTAACCAAAGGCAGTGGTAAGAGACACGAGTTTCCTGATCAGCTGCATAAAAAAATAAGTCATGCTGATTTTAGAGCGATGGAATTTGCAAAAAAACTCTCATTTCAACGAATGGTAATTGAAAATGATTAGGCATAAATGTTGCAATACTATGCATTTGTGACCACTTACACCATGATAATGGGTACTCTTGATGGTCCTTGTTTTGCAAACATAATATTCGTGAAATCACAGTTCGTACTGGCGCTTTACCGTCCATTCGTGCTTTTAATGGCTAGACCATGAAAATCTCTTTTCAGAAATGAATCAGTTCGTTATTGTGTGCAGGTTTTGCCAATCAGTTGCATATGTTAATGTTCGTTTTGCAAACATGACGTTCATGTTGTGATGTTTTTCTTTGTGTGCTCCTAAGTTGCTTGATTGTGTAAAACTCTTCTTGTAAACACCTTGCGTTCAGATGTTGTATTCGGTAATCGTATATATTTGATGCATACAATACATCTTTAATGTTTGACTGCATTCTTTATGTCTTGCTAAGTAGCTCGATTGATTTAGTCAGTCAAGTAGTTTTAGTCCGTAAGATGGTAGTCGTAAAAGTTTGTTTTGTCAAACATGACACAGAGACGCTCTACTCTGTGCTGTTCAGTTTGCTAAATTGGGCGAGCGTGAAAATCTTCTCTTATACAAACATTACATGGTTAAGGTTCGTTTTCAGTATGCGTTTGTGTTCGTTTATGGTTCAAGTTTGTTTTTAAACATCACACAGATGCTCTCCTCTGTGGAGTTTGCTAAACTGGTTAATCTTGAAAATCTCTTGTTGCAAACATAGCGTTCATTAGCGTTCATTAATAGTATGTGTCATCAGACCAATTTATTGATAGAGTCAGTAAGTACCGTTTCACGAATATTACATTCACAAACTTTTTCTCCAGTATCATTTTAGAGAGGTTCAGATTTAACTACCACTACCCCTCACAGCCCTAATACAGATTTGATTGGTTAATCAGGTAGAATAAACGCATTTCATTGGTTAATCAGGTATATAATAAATGCATTTCATTGGTTAGTGGTAAAGGTAAAGGTAGTCAAAATCTGAACACCTGTAATATCTTTTGCGAGTCCTATTCTAACTCTAAGTATGTCAAAATTATAAGATTTATTTTATTGTATGGCAATCAGTGTTGGTTTCATGCCTAGATAAGAGTTTTAGAGAATACGTCCTTGTGGAAACCTTCGGCTTCAAAAAATACCAAATGCAAAATTCGTACGTGTATGATGGTCTCTATTCTGTTTTAAATGTGTTTTGGCTAAAATGGTTCCATTTCAATTGTATGTATACCGGAGTCATGCTGGCGGAATCAAGAGCAACTAAATAATTGTGAAGACCTTTTGCGACAGAGAATGAAATGTACAAAATGCGGTTACAATAACACCGTTGAGAAATAGTCATAAGCTTTTGTCTGCATTATAAAGTCCGTTATAAGTAAGGTTTTGTCTGTGTTGGTTAGTGTTTTCATTTAAAAATCGTTTTCTTGCAAACATCAATACATTCATAAGGCTTGTTCTCCAGTATGCGTTCTTTTACGCTCTATCAATCTTTCGAATGATAATTTTCACAGTTTGTCCCGTAATGTTCGTCGTTTATGTCATGTACTAATCTCTATCCTTTCCATTCAGAGAGGTGTTTTGTTTTGCTACAAGCATCACATATTCATATGGCTTTTTTCTCTAGTGTGTCTAATTTTATGCATCATGAAACCTTTCTTTACACTATTTCTCAACGTCCTGATAAAATTCTTGTCAACATGTTTACCTTGTCTGGAAATATATTCTTAACACACCACGTACATTAAGTCGCGTCTAACTAGGGTTATATTTATGCCCGGCTCCTTCTCTTCAAATATTTTCTTACCAATTTAAATCACATCCATAAAATAGTTCGTCTTTGTAAAGTTTTGTTTATGTCTTGTTGAGTGTTTTCTGTAAATCTCTTCTTAAAAATATCACATTCATAAGGTTTTGTCTCCAGTGTGCGTTCTTTTATGTAGTGCCAAAGCATTTCAGCATGTAAATCTGTTCTTGTAGAACTCACGCTTAAATAGTTGTCTTTAGTAAGTTTATGTCTTGTTGTGTTGTTTCAATCTAAATATTTTCTTACAAACATTCATAAGGTTTTATCTCCAGTGTGTGTTCTTTATGTCTTGCTAAATCGCTTGAGCGTGCAAATAAGTTCTTGTTGAACTCACGCTTCAATAGTTCGTCTTTAGTAAAGTTTTATGTCTTGTTGTGTTTTTCAATTTAAATCTTTTCTTGCAAACATCACATTCATAAGGTTTCATCTCCAGCGTGTGTTCTCATACGTCTTGCTAAAGCATTCGAGTGTGTAAATCTGTTTAAGTAGACCTCACGCTTAAATAGTTCGTCTTTAGTAAAGTTTTGTTTACGTCTTGTGTATTTTAAATCTAAATATTTTCTCAAAAATATCACATGCATTCATAAGGTTTTATCTCCAGTGTGTGTTCTTTTATGTATTGCTAAAGCATACGAGTGTGTAAATATGTTCTTGTAAAACTCGCGCTTAAATAGTTCGTCTTTGCAAAGTTTTTTTTTATGTCTTGTGTGTCTTCAATCTAAAATCTTTTCTTACAAATATCACATTAATTAGGTCTTCCGTGTGTGTTCTCTTACCGCCTTGCTAAAGTATTTGAGGGTGCAAATCTGTTCTTGTTTAACTCACGCTTAAATAGTTCGTCTTTAGTAAAGTTTTGTTATGTCTTGTTGTATTTTCAATTTTAATTTTTTCTTACAAACATCACATTCACAAGGCTTTGTCCCCAGTACGTGTTCTCTTACGTCTTGCTAAAGCATTTGAGCGTGTAAATCTATAAAAACTACGCTTAAAAAGTTCGTCTTTCGTAAAGTTTTGTTTATGTTTCGTTATGTGTTTTCAATTGAAAAATCAATTGTTTATTTTTTGAAAATCTTTTGTTGCAAACATCATGTTTCATAAGGTTTTGTCTTAAGCGTGTGTTCTTATGTCGTCCGATTCTGAAATCGTTCTTGAAAACATTTCCACCAAAGTGGCAAATCATCATATATAATTAATCCGTTGCCTTTCCCCCCATTCCTTTACAGCAAACATTTCGTCGCTTTCTGGTAAACGTCATAACTACAAGACAGTCCTTCACATCTTTGTTTTTGTCTAGTAAAATTTCAAATCTTGGAAAGGTAATATTTTTCAAGCTTGCTCTTAAATGTTTGTTCCCCGAGCAGACGCGTTCCTAGTTTAGTCATTGCTACGAAATGTTTGGTGTCATGTAGTTACCAATACATTGAAAACCAATTTTCGATCATTTTGGTGTTGATGCAACATCACAATTGTTTATCTGGCTGGTTTTTGCCTTGAATTACCGTTGTGCTGGTGTTTTGTGCTCTATTTATTAGGTTTTAGATAAATACGAGTTTTTGCTGATGATAAGAAAATATTATTTGAATCAGCATGACGCTAATCAGATATGCATGCTAATCAGGACAAGGGCTACCACAAACCTTTGCAGTTTGCGGAATAAAAATCGACACACGACTATTCATGTCTTGAAAACTTCCTTCATATGCACTAAGACGGCATTTGGACATTTCATCTTGATTTAGCCCGTTTATTGAAATTTGATCGGTTCTTTTTCATTTCTTGTATTTTATGCATTTCAGTTCGCACATTGACAGCAACAAACTTTTTTAACTTAAAATGTAAACATAAAGCTAATAAAAACAAAAAAAAATCAAAAAATGTGTTCTGCACTTTCCAATAGACAGCAGACAAAGTGGTGTGTTTTCTACTTAACAGTTATCAATAAAAAAAACTTAGTCACATCAATTAAGAAAAAGTCCATAAAAAACAAAAGCAATAAAAACAAAAAATCAACACACTATCGTACACTATTCTGCCTTAACTCGGACAGTTTACAATAATCAATCTGTAAAAAGTCTAGAGTTAAAGACATTAACAAATCCGGGCTTACCCCAACCAACGAACGCTTATCCTGAACAAAACAACCAATAAGAGCGAAGCATAGTAAAGGCCGGCCCAATCAGGATGCGAGAGTCATTTATCCGAGCATAGGGTTGCCCAAATGTCTTGATACACAATGTCAGTAGCTTCATTAAAATCTTGCTAGGAATTAAACTATTTAAAGTTTCTCATCACACGTCAATTGTACCTAATTATCACGTTGTTGATATCCACCGCGACCCCCACGTTGTCCTCTGTTACCACGGAAGTTCCCACGTTGTCCTCTGTTACCACCGCGGAAACCACCACCACGCTAAATAACAGACAGACGTGTGCTTAGGAGATGGGTTTTCCTGATGGAATGTTCGAACGTAAATTTAAGGGCCACAAGTTTGTTAGTTTCTTGTAAACTATTTAGTGCTACCTTCGTTAAACAAAGTCTTCACTAGCGTGAGGTGATTTTCTACAAAAAAAAACGAAAACCGACCAAAAAAACCCGAGTGAACCGGATGAATAAACGTCGAGAACACGTAGAAAATGAGTTATATTGTTATTTTAATGAGTTTCACAGGTATCTTCCCTTCGATAGGCTATGTTCTAACTAACTGAGTTACATACAGTAGCTCAGTTGTCGAGCTACAAAGCTCAGTTGTAGAGCCCAGTCGTCTGAGATATAAAGCTCAGTTGTTGAGCAGTTACCATAAACTCATCGACATTTTTGGGTATCTCGTTCGACAGAAATAATAATAGTCTAATACATGGGTTTTGCAGGTGGAAATATCCAACGCAAATTTTTATATACAATTTTTTATACGCAGATGTCTAAAAAATGTATATCAAATTTGAGTTCGAAATTTGGTTATCGCCTCGCGTTTTATTAGGGAGTTTACGCATGTAAGACGGCGGCGTGAGGACGATGGCTAAACAAACTGTTTGAAATAAACGATTGTATGGAAACACTTTCATGTATTTACTTTCGTATGAATTTCATACAGTTTAGAACGAGTAAATCAGAGCTTTAACCTTTAGAGCAATTTTGCTCAACTTTCCTACAAAATTGCCTGTCACGGCTTGAAATGCTAGCGTACTCTACCAGACGTGAAAATATACATTTTACCTTGTCAACTGAGCATGGACGACGTCCAAAACTGCTGCTAGACTATAAATTATTCATTTCTTCTGTGCTACAGGATTAATTACGTTATATTGATAGCCGTCGTCCTGACGTTGCCGTCTTACATGCGTAAATTCATTTAAATTAGATAAAATATGAAAGAATAAAGCGAGCAAGTGACGTGCAGGGTAAACCTTCAACACGCAATTATGAAGCCACAGGTGACATGTTTTTGGTTTTGTCCTCTCGCCCTTTAAAACTGGTCAACAAAATCGGTAATTGGACAAAAAACAAAACAAATAAGCGTGGCCCCCCAAAACATGTCGCTTCATACTTGAAGCATGTAGAACATGAAATATCGATATCTCACCTGATTTTGTCCACCACCACGAGCAAAACCACCACCATAATTGCCACCACTATAGTTACCACCACCATAGTTACCACCACTGTAGTTACCACCACTGTAGTTACCACGGTTACCACCTCGAAGTCCACCTCCTCTTCCTCGAAATCCTCCACGACCTCGCCCCCCACGGAAACCATCACGATCTCCTCTTTGATTGCTTTCGTCTGGAGCACGGTATGGTTCAGCAGTCTCATAACCTAGCACATGAAATAAGAAAAAAATATTTTATTGACAACTGCACTCCTTATTGATCCTATCTAAGTAATTCCAACCCACCCTATCAACATTCCCAGTGGGAGAAAACGGGAGTACCCAGAGAAAAACCACGACTTTCGGCAGAGCGTCGACTGACCTTTTCACATAAGTGTCGCAAGTCCGAAACGTGAATCGAACTCACGATCTTCAGAGGTGAAAAGCGCTTGGTCTGACAATTGCGTCGACTGAATAATCAATCAAATATTCACTCACGATATGGTTTGGAAGAAATAAATTTTAAATTCTAGTGTACCGAGATTCCCAGTAACATAGATCAAGTGTTATTCCCTTGCTTTCGTATCCTCTCATAGAAACACTGTTCATGGCAGTGCACATGCATGCGAAAAAAGGTTTTGTAGATGAAAATTTCAAGTGTCAGTTACATATACATTTTTACACTTAACCAGAAGCAGCCGCGAAAATACAACTGTATACAGGCCCTTTGACAGGGATAGAACCCGAGGCCCTGCGATTCTGGAGCAGCGCTCTAACAAACTAAGCTACAGAGTCCAGTTGCTGAGCATTAACCACAAATTATGCGAGTTATCCAGTGTAAGTAAAGTTAGCGAAGTTAACAGCCTCATATACCGTCCTGATATCAACATTTTATATTCAGGTTGATAACACAGTAAGATGTAATCACTGGCTGACTGCAAATTACATGATAAATATTAAATTATTTTCTGGGAAATACTGTATCATACATGTATGATGGCATACATTGATAATAAAGAAACGATGCTCGAAGTAAATCTGCTATCAAGTACACAATAGAAAGTTTGAGTTCAAAACCTGGTTTAAGACAACAAGAAACGGCGAAATCTTATAGTCACGTAACTTAAAAAATCTTCCACTAGCTCAGTTTTAACTCTATTTCAGAATATCACCACACTAGCAAAAGACGTTTTTGTCAAATTTCTTGCAAGTCGAAAAAACCGGTTAACGACCGGTACGTTTCTTAACAAATTCTGACACATTTCGCTAAGATGGAAAAAATCGGTTCTCAAAACTATTTGTTTTCACAACTGGTAAATATGCGAACAAAACACAAAGCGCACTTCTTCAGTGTCGGAACCACTAAATTTAACCTCGGCGCTTGAATTATTCTTCCATATGCATCGCCAGCGGAGAACTCCAACGGCTGGAACTGCGTTTCCAACACACCTCGAGGTTGAAGGTGCTTGAAATAATATACAATGAATGGTACAAGTACGAATATAAATACTCACAAATACTCTGTATTTATAAGATCACTTACTCGGTTCATCCCATCCAGAACTGGCTTCAGTCGGAGCAAAATCAGGATCGCATGTTGTTGTTTGTGGTTGTTGAGTGACATGAGATGTTGATGATGGATAAAATGGCGGGGCATCTGCATGAATACGAGATTTCGAGCTGACTTCAGATTCACCCAAGAAATTCAAGCCATGTTCATTTGCTGTGAGATCATCCTGAGTGTCTGGAGCAGATGCTGGAGCTTCAACAGTTGTTGTTGTATCACCGTTAGAAACATCGGGCTGGAAAAGAGATTGCAGAAAGGTTATAAACTCCAATGGTCTGTGGCAAAATGCCAAACTGGGTTCAGCGGCGTAGTCTTTCACAACTGAGATCGTGGGTTCGATTCTCGCTACGAACTCATGTGAAAAACGTCAGTCAGTACTCTTCCGAAAGTCGTGGGTTTTCTTCGGGTGGGTTAGGATAAACACAGTTTATATAGAGAATAATACATGGGTGCGCGGAAATACCAGGTTTATTTCGGGTGTTGAACATGATATCTCACGAGTGAGCGCAGTTTATTATATAAAGGACAGTCTTTAAAAAGTGATAATTTTCACAAAAAAGTGATAATTGAAAAGTGACAATTTTCACATGTGAGATTATCATGAATAATCTCACATGTAAGATTATCACTTTTATCAGTGCTCGAAATCTCTATAAAGCACTATACTTTATATAATAAAAGAAAGTAATATCACAATTCTAGGCTAAGTAGAGTATGTAATCAGGTAAGCGTACAATACTTGATGTTAGGCGCATTTCATCATATCCACATGTCAATTTTCGCTATAGAAATGCTAATCTTAAAACGTCTGCTTCTGTAGTGTGTTTTACTGCAATTTGTTCTGTTTGCCTGTAGTAGTTACAGATTTATCGTACTGCGTTAAAAGTTAGTTTTCTATTAAAAAATAATTTGAAGCAAAGGATGCATTTTTCGCTACAGTAGTACAGTACATTCGTTGCATAACGTAAAAGGATCGACATTTTAATTTTTCTCGCGGCATTTTCTCATATATCGGTAACCGCTACAGAAAAAACAGAACAAATGACAATAAATTACAATAGACAACACCACTTTTCGTACTTTTACTGTGGGGCCAAAATCAGTAAAACACAATACAATATTTTGTTTTCTACCTCAGTATGCTGAACATCTTCCACAGTTGGCTCAGAAACCTTTTCAACAACAGGATCCACAGATGTTTCCTCGAGATCTTCCGTGTCCTTAGCTTCTTCTTCTTCTACCACTTCCTGCTCCTCAGCGGGTTCGTCAGATTCTTCAGACTCTTCCGTTTGGTCAAAGTATCCTGATGCATTGATACTGGCGATTGCTTCAGAGAGACTTTTGTCTGTGGTCGAGTCAAGGAAATAACTTCAGAACTAAATCAAAGATGAGCTTACTAATCTGGCCTCAGTAAAGAATACTATTTCCAAACAAATTATATTCACCACTTTGACACTTAAGACAAACCCAGGCCTAGACTAGAAAATATAATTATTTTCATGGCAGCAAATCCAAAAGTCAATAAAAGGGGCGTCGATGGCGAAGTGGTTAGCGCACTTGCCTTTCACCTCCAAGGTCGCAGATGTAAGAAAATTTCATGCAAAGATTTTTCCTAAATTAAACATTTCCTAGCAGCAATGCTGCTGGCGCTGCCAGACATTCCAGTACTGAACCAGACATCGGGTAATCATTATTTTTGGTTTGGTATGGAGTGCTGACAAAACATGTCTCATAAAATACTGGACCTTCTCTCAATGGGAACACACATAAGAACTGCAGCGAGGCATATCAGCCAATTTTTCCAAGGTCCCAAGCTATATGCGTATGACGTCCGCCCGTATGCATAGAAATTACTGTCAAATGGTCGGCCAGAATGCACGAATTTTGCCATTCTAGACGCGCTAAAATATTCCATGTTCTGAATGCTCTGGAAGCCCTCACTCTGAAGTATTTAAATATGAATAGCGAATATCATTTCTAAAATGTTGCAGGGACTTACAGACTTTGCCAGCCAATCGTGTTTAAGCCTGCTGACACCATAACGAACATATATCAATATGGTCAGCTATCTCAATAAGCCATCGCCCCTTTCTAACCAATTTAAAAACTTGATTGTTCAACTGAATAAGATGAACTGAATACACTTGGGCTAGGCAATATCCACCATCCGACAGGATTACTCATTGAGTACATATTGTACGGTGATTGACTCACAGATGGTTATGACGGGCTTATGTTGAAGGATACAAGTTGTTCCTTGAAACTCCTTGGATGAAGCAGCAAAGACGCCCGCAAGATGTTCACTAGCAGCAGCTATCTGCTCATCAATAGGAACCTCAGACTCATCATCTGGTGTGATCACTTTATACAGTTCATCGATCTGCTTCAGAACTTCCTCACCCAAAGCCTGGAGAAAACAATCAAACATATTAGACACTGCGATATTTAGTGAATGTCGATTACAGGGTGTGGATATTCAAATCATCTGAGACCATCGGATACTAGTTTTCTCAAGGTCATTGATACGATGAAACAAACTATTAAAAACTTGTTTCGATACATCATACAGGTAGTTTCATGTTTTAATTCAAGACGTCAGCCGTCATAGGCATGAAAATGTGCCCGGTCAAAATGACCGGTGAGGTAAAAAAGTGACTGGTCAAGAGGAATTCTTGGTCAGTCATTGTCCATTGACCGGCTGTTATTTTGGGCCCTGCATGGTTTGCGCAGCAACGCAACTGATTTGTAACTTGATATCTTCGGCAACCCTTGCCTAATGTTAAAATGAAACAACATCGGTTGAATTTGGGGAAAATATTAGTTTTTTTACGGTTTATTTAAAGGTTTACCACCTCACTCTAATCATTATGAAAACAATGTGTGGTAATTTTATTGGAAACTATCTGGATTAGAGTGAAGTCCGTAAGAGAATCAACTGCGTTGTACAAGTTATGCTACAGCCTCATATACCGTCCTGATATCAGCATTGTTAGCACTCAGGAATAGGAATTATTGTAATCACTGGCTGTATGTAGTAAGAACTAATTTCCTTTGAAGCTGACCAGATCACTCTTGGCTGATGTATTGACTCGATGAGCAACACACAGAGTACTGTATGTAAACACAGTGCAAAGACTGACAGGGCAAAAACCTAAACTCTGAGATCCCAAGAATAGTGCAAAGGTCAGAGGGTGGTTTACAGACCCCCTGTCAAAAACCAATGTCAACCGTCGGGGAATAACTTTTTGTATCTGCGCAGCAGATATACTATGCTATCGAGTTTGCTTTATCTGTTAGCTGTTAGCTTGCAGCCAATCAGTGTCTAGTATTTTAGCTTGTGACCGTCCCTAGCCAATCAGCGCACTATGCGGAAATGACTATTCAGTTTAGAACATATAGATCAGTGAGAAAACCGTAGAATCGCAGCAGCCTGTTCGCAGGCTAAATCAACATGGCGGTACGTAACGTTTCGAGCTAATTTCGAGGAGTACTTTATATATTTTTACTCTTGTCGACTTGAACTGTGTTTGAAGTGTTTTTGTTTTAAGGTAAGAATTAAAGAATCATAATCGACAATTTTCAATGTACTAATGTGTAAACAATATTCAATGTAGGCTACTAGTGTTTAAACATGAATGCAATTTCTACGATGTATAAAATATAAAGAGCTATATTTCCAGCAAAAGTTTTTTAATATGTATGGTTTTTTAATATGCTACTATTATAAGTTTGAATGTGTATGATTGACCTGTTTGCTGCAGTAATTTATGTTCCTTGAATAGTTTATGTATATTACTCAAGTCTCAACAGTTGACGTTGGCAAATCCAAATGTAATCTATGCATTATAAATATAAACAATTGACAAAATTTTGCTTCATGTGATTTTATATACAATAAATTATATGGCAATGATAAAGATTGTCAAGTTATCAGTGTGACATCCCAGTTTATGTATCAACATTATGATGTCACAACTCAGTTGACCTATTAAGGAAACCTTTGTTACTGTTAT